GTTGAAAAGCAGAAATTTGATAGCCTTATGCTACAATTGGGGCAAAAATTGTAATTGAGAACCCACAAAGGAAGGAGAACTATGGAAATACTGGTATGCTTTGGCTGAGGATCCAAAAAAACTATGAACTATGTCTAAGTTGAAAGGACATTAGTCCAGCTTTCCAGCCATCCCAGGAACTAACACCCAGTTTTACATTATCTCAAGTTCAAAAATGTTTTAAGATTATCCAGTTATGTTGGTTGGTAGTCCTAGGCACCAGCAAGGAACAGTAATAAATCATTCTGGAGAAAGAGAACATCATTCCAGACTTCAAGCTATTTCCTCAATCTCTCGTTAAAAATGTATGTGACAAAAGTAATCAGGAGCAAATGAAAATATAACTATCCTATCAAAACTCAAAACCAGCATTCAAGAGAAGAGATTAACAAGGGATCCAGATAATGAAGTTACAAGACCTAGACTTTAAAATAACTGTGCTTAACTTGTTTAAATAAAGAAAAACAAAAGTAAAAACTTGGCATAGAGGTGAAGACTACAACAAAGAAGAAAAATAAAATGCTACAACTGAAAAAAATTTGAACCAATATTAAATACATAATGAATGCATTAAATAGTCATTTTTACAAAGTTGGTAAGATACTTAATGATGATGAAAGATGAACCGGAAGAAAATATCTGGAAAGAAACAAGAGAAAATTAGAAGTTGAAAATAGGGAAAAAGGTGAAAGAGGGAAGGAAGGATGAAGGAAAGCAGGGGGAAGGTAAGAAAGAGGGAAGGAAGGAAAGAAGGATGGAAAGAAGGAAGGAAAGGAAAGCAAGCAAACTGTTAAAAAAAAAAAAAAACTCAGGGGGTGCCTGGGTGGCTCAGTGGGTTAAGCCGCTGCCTTCGGCTCAGGTCATGATCTCAGGGTCCTGGGATGGAGTCCCGCATCAGGCTCTCTGCTCAGCAGGGAGCCTGCTTCCCAATCTCTCTCTCTCTCTGCCTGCCTCTCCATCTACTTGTGATCTCTCTCTGTCAAATAAAAAAATAAAATCTTAAAAAAAAAAAACAACCTCAAACAATAAAGCAAAAACAAAAGTTGAAGAAAACATCATATCACTTTTAAAGGGTCAGATATGAAACTGAAAGTTGACTTCTCAAAAAAAAAAAAAAACCACAAAGAAAAAAGTCAGAAGACAAGGTAGTGATTTCTTCAGAGTCCTGAAAGAAAAGAACTATGATATAGAATTCTGTATCAAATGAAAATACCTTTTAGGAGTAAAAATAACATAAGGATATTCTCAAACAAAAATAGAGAGAGAATTCAACATCAGAACTCCAGTATTAAGGGAAATTCTTAAAAAATTGTTTGGCCAGAAAGAGAATAATTTTTTATATGGAAGCTCAGAAACACACAGAGTAAAAAAGAACAACAAAAAACAAGCAATGATTTTTTTGGATAAGACTGGTAAGTTGAGGGGCGCCTGGGTGGCTCAGTGGGTTAAGCCTCTGCCTTCGGCTCAGGTCATGATCTCAGGGTCCTGGGATCGAGCCCCACATTGGGCTCTCTGCTCAGCAGGGAGCCTGCTTCTCCCTCTCTCTCTCTCTGTCTGCCTCTGCCTACCTGTGATCTCTGTCTGTCAAATAAATAAATAAAATCTTTAAAAAAAATTCTGGTAAGTTGAAACTTCTGGCATAAATAGTAAAAGAAGAGTAAAAGATAATATAACTACACAATAGTAAATGGGATGGTGGAATTATAAAAAAATAACCAACATATAGAAAAGAAGATAGGAAAAAATAACAAGATATATTTCATCTGATCTATATTACTATTATAAATATTAGTGTAAAGTTAAAAAAAAGAGTGACTTTTTTGAATGTAGTGAATATGGTTTTGAATGTAGCAAATAGTTTATATGAGAAATATCTGATATATGAGAAAATAGAAAATATAAAATCTAAAGGATAGGAAAAGATATAAAAACACAACAAAAGCATGGTGAAGTAGATATATTAATATTATATGAGGTTGTCAGTAAGAAAAAATGCATTATTAGAGACAAAGAATGATTATTTATAGTAATAAAAGATTCAATTCAACAGAATATTGCAGCCATAAATTTTTTTTTAAAGATTTTATTTATTTGACAGAGAGAGAGAGATCACAAGTAGGCAGAGAGGCAGGCAGAGAGAGGAGGAAGCAGGCTCAGTGCTGAGCAGAGAGCCCGATGCGGGGCTCGATCCCAGGACCCTGAGATCATGACCTGAGCCGAAGGCAGAGGCTTAACCCACTGAGCCACCCAGGCGCCCCTGCAGCCATAAATTTAATGCAACAAATAACTTAGTCTTAAACTATGTGAAAAAAGATAGAAGGACAAAAAAAAGTAGAAAACACCATAATAATGGGTGATGTTAATATACCTTCTTCAGTTACACAGGAAACAGAAAAATAAACAACATAAATGTAAGAATAAAAAAGATATAAACATGAAAATTAATGAAACAACCTAATTCAAAGAAGAACTATCAATGAGTATTAAAAATATCTTCATCTGAATGGTAATAAAAATGAGATGACACAAAGCTCATGGAACACAGCTACAGTAGTGTTTATAGGAAAATTCATACCATTATATTTTTATATCTAAAAAGAATAATGTGGTGTTGGTAAAAGAGTACACAAATAGATCAATGGAACAAGACAGAGATCTCAGAAATACATCCCTATAAATATAGGCAACTGATACTTATCAAAGGAGCAAAGGCAATATAGTGAAGGGAAGATAGTTTCTTGAACAAAGGATGTTGTAACAACTGGACATCCACATGTGAAAAAAGTGAATCTAGACACAGACCTTACACCCTTCACAAAAAAACAGACTTGAAATGGCTCATAGATCCAGACATAAAATGCAAAATTATAAAACTCTTAGAACATATCATAGAAGAAAACCTAGATATCCTTGGGTTAGCAATGACTTTCTGGATATAGCACCAAAGGCACAATCCATGAAAGAAAGAATTGATAAGCTGGACTTCATTAAAACTAAAAACTTCTGCCCTGAGAAATGTAATGACAAGATAAGGATATGACAAGCCACAAACTGGGAGAAATATTTGCAATAGACACATGTGATAAAACATGTTATCCAAAACATACAGAAAACTTTTGAAATTCAACAATAAGAAAACAAAAGAAAATAAAAACAAAAGGGCCAAAGACCTTAAAAGACATCTGACCAAAGAAATTATACAAATAGCAAGTAAGCCTAAGAAAGGATGCTCCATGTTATATGCCACCAGAGAAATGCAAATTAAAATGACATAACATTTCATACCTACTAAAACAGCTAAAATTTGGAATACTGGCAAAACCTAACTGTGGTGAGTATATGGAGCAACAGGAACCCTCATACACTGCTGGTAGGAATGCAAAATGGTACAGCCATTTTGGAACATAGTTTGGTAGTTTCTTAAAAAACTAAACATACTGGGGGTGCCTGGATGGCTCAGTTGGTTAATGTTCTGCCTTCAGCTCAGGTGATAATCCAGAGGTCCTGGGATAGAGCTCCGCATGGGGCTCCCTGTTCAGCAGAAAGCCTCCTTCTCCCTCTCCCTCTGCCCCTCCCCCTGCTTGTGCTCTCTTGATCTCTCTTTTATCAAATAAATAAAATATTTTAAAAAACCCTAACCATACTAGTACCGTATCATACAGCAATTATGCTCCTTGGTATTTATCCAAAGCAGTTGAAAACTTTTGCCCACACAAAAAACTGCACATGAACATTTATAAACAGCTTTATTCCTAATTTCCAAACTTGGAAACATCCAAGATATTTTTCAGTAGGTAGACAAAATAACTGTGTTATATCCAGACAATGGAAAGTTAATTAATGCTAAAAATAAATGAGCTATCAAATCATGAAAAGACATGTAAGCACCTTAAATTCATATCACTAAGTTAAAGAAGCCAGTCTAAAAATACTGTGTACGATATGATTCTAGCTATATGACATTCTTGGAAAGACAGAATTATGAAGGCAATAAAAAAGACAACAGTTGCCAGAGAAGTGAGGGCAGAGATGAATAAGCAGAGCCCAGATGATTTTTAGGGCAATGAAAATACTTTGTATGACATTATAATAATAGATATATTTAATTACACATTTGCCCAAACCCATAGAATGTACAACATGAAGAATGAATGATAGGGAAAACTATGGACTTTGGGTGGTTCTGAAGTGTCAATATAGGTTCACCCTTTGTAAAAAAACATACCCTTCTGATGGATGATGTTGATAATGGGAAAGGTTATGCATATTTAGGGGCAGGGAATATATAGGAAATATATAGGAAATCTCTATACCTTTCTTTTAATTATTTTGTGAACCTAAAACTGCTCTAAAAATAAAGCCTTTAAAAAATTTTAAAGTGAACTTATGAATTATTTTAAAAATTTATATAATAACATAATAAACAAAGCATATGAACAATTAAATAAAGAAAAAAGAAAAATTACTAACAGCATAAAAATTAAAATTGCAGTAGACACCATTTTATTTGGAGGCAAAATCTACATATATTGCTGGTGCAATATATAAATTAATAACCCTGGGAACTAACTCTTCCACAGCTATCCTAAATATGTCTCATGTAAATATTAAAATGTATACTATAAATTTTCTTATTATAATCCTAAAATATTAAAATTTTAATATAACCTAATGGAAAAATTGGATGAACTGTCATATATTTCAAGGGAATATTATTTAGCTTTTTAAAAAGTTTTGAATCTTGTTGAGGAGAATAATTTATGGCATAAAAATGTTATTTATATTAATTTAAAACATGTTTAAACTTTGCATTTACAGGGAATATGTAATATTTTAGTGTCTTTTTATTTTTTAGCATTTTCTAAGTTTGTTACAATGTATACATAGTACTTTTTGTAATCAGAAATAGTATGTTCTTGAGTAAGAAATCAGTAATGTCAGTTACTCTTCTTTTACTATAGCCACATGTGCCTTGGTGGATCCTGATCGGTGCACAAAAAAGTTCGGTTACTGTAGAAGACGCTGCTTTAAAGATGAAAAACAAATTGATATATGTCTCTCACCAAATAAAATTTGCTGTACTGAGAGCTTACTTGATGAAGATTAATCTTGAAAAGGAAGATGTACCTGTGATCAAAGAAGTTTGTACACCAGGGCAGAAAGTTATAGGGCTATAATTAGAATTTCTGTAATAAATAAACACAGATGCCAATATTGATACCTTCCTCTGTAGATACTATGTATTCAGTGAAATAAGGTACAAAATTTCTTATATTCTCAAGTTAGAGATTTTATGATAGAGACATATCTGGTGTGAATTTCCTATCATATGGATATCAACTTTGCTTCAATGTAGAACCGCTTTTGATCTGTCATGGTTTACCTAAACTTACACAATTAAATATTTACCAACTTAATCATGAACTTATTAGAAATTTTATTGATGAAAATTAATACCCATAGACTTATCAATTGTCTAACTGTCAGCAGTATGTTATTGACATTAAGAAACAGGAAACCTCAATACAAGATGCATGCAAAAGCTACAGTACAGCATGACAATACTCATTGGCTATTTATTTCTCCTCTCCAAGTTCTGTTCATGCAAGAAGACACATTAATTGGATACTATGTAATACTAACACTACTAAACTGGGTTCAAATACAATCTGAACTTTGGCTAGAATCTAGACTCAAAATTAGCTTGGCTAGAATCTAGACTCAAAATATTATTTTCATACTTAGTTCTGAGTGGGATGGAAAAATGCATGAAGATCTGTTATTTCATTCTCAGTGTAAATACTAGACAGCATAAATAGTCTCTGTAATGATAAAAGTTAAGGAAAAACATAGAGACTAGAATTTCTTTTCCAACTAAAAACAAGGGATCAATCAACCATTTATCAACATTTTACCAAGGTCCCAAACATTTTTGTTACTGTTTTTTTTTTCAATAACTTAACAACTGACCCAAGATTACTGCTTTTTAAAAAAAATTTTCCCCCAATGGAGATCTAGTGAACCTCGCAATAATATTTACTTATAATAAACAACTTGTACCAGGACAGGCATCATATTGCCACTGGAGATTTAAGTGATATGTACCTAAAAAAACAAAAACAAACAAATAAAAACTATGTTTAATTCAAGTACTATGTGTAAGGTAGAGGCAAGAAGATCTTCTGCAGGATCAACAATCAGATAGGAGGATCAAATTCAAGAACCTGAAAAGAGAAGAAAGAAATGCATAAAGAGCTTCAGGGATGGAGAACTAGTTGTAATTGTTGAATGCAATAAGAAATGAGACAAAATAATTCATGATTTATTAAATCTTCTAGGAAAGGGATTTGGAGGATGGTGGTAGCAACACAGTTTTTTTAGAATTAAGTGCCTAGAGGGTAAACCCAAAACTTCTGGAAAATTTTACAACAAACTGATAAGAAATCTCTGCATACTTTACCATATAAATTGGTGGAGAAAAAAAACCACCAACAACAACAAACCAGTAACTTCAAGTCCTCTGTGGAATCTGTGTTTGCGTGGGAGAAATCAGATAAAAGAAAAATTGTCTTTTGATGGGTCTGAGAAGACGCTCAGAATGCCAACAGCATTTGCTGGGAAAGACAGCACACCAGTTTGTTGACAGCAGCTATAATTTCTTCTCTCTTAGAGCCACCACTAGATTTCAAGTGAAATGTGAGGGCTTGAGAAGTACTGTATTCTTTTCCTTGCTGTCTCCTCAAACCTGTAATATGCTGGTGACCAGATTATGTATTCATTAATAAATGTTGGAAAATAATAAAACATTTAACCTAGACATCCCAACTTATTTCTGGTCTGTCTTAAGCAGGCAGCATTTTATTTTGAATTTTATACTTTTGAATTTCATTTCTGGAAAACATTGAGATTTCTGGAAAAAGGCATTTCTGATTGTTATTCTAGGGGGGGATGCTGTTGATTCATGTATTCTTGGACAAGTTCTTAAACTAGCTCTCAGTTTGCTCATCTGTAAATGATAATGATAATATATTATAATTAAATAAATATAAAATTATAACTATGATCTGTATTATGTGGTCCTCCAAATGGGAATTTCATTTTTATCCATATATCCTCCAACTATTTTAAGGTGGTCTTCCTATTTTAAAATCTTCTTTCTTCTCTTAATTTCTATCATTCTTATACCCCTAAGAGTCTTCCTCTACAGGGTGGTAAAAGTGGGTATGATAAGAAATATTCAAATTCTTGATGTGCTTGGAAGTCTACCTAGCAAATGATTTGCTGGGAACAGAAAGTGAGGATGTAACTTGCATCCTTGCACACCAGGGATGAACCAAGTTTTTGTGTTTGGGTAATTGTAAAAATACAGTTGCCATTAAATGAGTTGGGAAAACTGTGGGAGGTGCAAGTTTGGTGAGAATGTTCATGTCAGAACCTCAGTTTGGATATATTTAGTTATAAATTTAATTGGAAATAGTGATTAGGCCGTTAGATGTTTGTTTAATGTTAAAGAGAGAGGATTCAGACTAGAGATAAAAACTTGGAATCATCAACTTCTAGATGCCATTTAAAGCTATAAGACTGAATGAGATCACTATGGAAATAAGTAGAGATAAAATTTCTGGGATTAATCTTTACATATGGAGTGTGAAAATCCAAAGATCAATGAAATGAGAAACCAGTGTATAAAACTAATAAGAAGTGACAAGAAAGTTAGGAGAAAACTAGTAATACTATGTCCTAAAAAGCCTCCGAAAAGAATGAGTCAATTATATCTAAAAATCCAGCTAAATAAAAACAAGAAATAGCCAATGATTTAGCATGTGATAAGTCTTTAAAGTCTTTGAAGACCTTTCTTAGAGCAATTTCAGGAGAGAAGAAGAGGCAAAAACCTGATTCAAGAGTGAACGAGAGGATAGAAATTTAAAAGAAAATTATTTTGAAGAGTTTGGTAATAAATCAAAGGAAATGATGTAGTAGCTAGAGGTCAAAAGGGATCAAGAGTTTTCTTAAATAACATTTTTTTAAACACTGCAAAAGAATCTAATGGAGAGCAAAATGAGAAGGCAATGTATGGAATGAGAAAAATATTTGCAAACCTTCTATGTAAGGGGTTAATATCCAAAATGTTTAAGGGATGTGTGCCACTCAATTGCAAAAAAACAACTTGATTAAAAATTGGGCGGAGGCACTGAATAGATATTCTCTCAAAAAAGATGTACAAATGGCCAACCAATACTTGAAAAGAGATGCTCAACATCACTAATCATCAGGGAAATTCAAATCAAAACCACAATGAGATTTTACCTCACAGTCTATGGAATAGCTAGTATCAAAAAGACAAGTGATAATGAGTCCTGGCAAGAATATGGAGAAGAGAACCCTGTACATTTCTGATAGGTATGGAAATTGGTACAGACACTATGAAAAACAGTATGGAAGTTCCTCAAAAAAATAAAGTAGAACTACCATAAGACACAGCAGTCCCACTTCTGGGTATATAGCCAAAAAATAAAAATAAAAATACGACCTCAAAGAGGTATGTGCACTCCCATGTTTATTGAATAATTTTTTTTTATTTTACCACAGAGAAGATATAGACAATCTGTGTTCATCTATCAATAAAAGGATAAAGAAGACAGATAAAGACTGTGTATGTGTGTATTTGTTTGTTTGTTTATATTAGACCTGTGCTGGGGGCTGAGGATCCTGTGGGGGTTTTATAGCCTTGCAGGGAGTAAAGGCATTGACCACTTACTTGTAGCAGGAGCATAAGGACTAGAAACTGAGGAACTGGTGAAAGAAGTTGGTGAATGATGGGGTTCTTTTTTGAACAGGAGGGACAGTGGGGACAAGGACAGTCTCTGGGAAAAAAGGAGGCCTGAAAGATGAGAAGAAGTTGGTTCAATGTTATCACTGCATAAGAGAAAACATCAAGGAGAGGGTAAGTCACCGTCAATGCTGCAGAGTTGAGGAAATACACAAGAATGTGATAATTGCAGCGATACTGGGGTAAAATGATTAATAGGGGGTGGCTTGGGTCCAAGCTGGGAAGACTTGAGAACCAAAGGAAAGAAGTTAGGTGTTCCCTAAAGGGCAGTAGGAAGGGTTGATCATGCCCAGAGTGGATATTCACAATGGAATATTATTCAGTCTTGAGAAAGAAGGAAATCCTGATATTTGCAACAACATGGATGGGTGGATCTTGAGGGAATTATGCTAAATGAGATAAGTCAAACAGAAAAGACAAATACTGTATGATCTCTCTTATATGTGGAATCCAAAAAATCCAAACAAATAGAAACAAATTGGTGGTTGCCAGGGCTAGGAGATGGGAGAAATGGGAAATGATTATCAAAATATACAAACTTCCAGTTATAAGATGAATGAGTTCTGGAGCTCCAATGTACAGTATGGTGACTATAGTTAACAGTACTGTAGCAAATATTTGAAAGTTGCTAAGATAGTAGTAGATCCTAAATGTTCTCATCACAAACACATACACACACACACACACACACACACACACACAGTAATTATATGAGAGATAGAAGTCTTAACTAATTCTATTGGGGTAATATATTTCATAATGTGTGTATCAAATCATCACAGTTTGTACCTTAACTTGCACAGTGTTATTTTTCAAATGTATCTTGGTAAATCTGGGAATATTAAGCTGATGGTGGGATGGAAGCTACATTGGCTGAATGTGTTTGCACATTCATATTAAACCTAGAAATCTAGATGGCTAGTTCTATGCTTCCACACCCTTTACCTTCTTGGTGTCTCATCAATTCTTCTACATGCTAAAAGGTTTCTTCCACGGTTCCGATATCCCTATGTATTCAAGATCAAAGCTGTGCAATAGAAATATGGCACAAACCACATACACAAGCTATATATGTAACTAAATTTTCTAGTGGCTACATTGGAAAAGAAAAACTAGTGAAATCAATTTTATCCCAAGATATCTAAAATATTTTAAGTATAATCAATTTTAAAAATTAATGAAGCTTTTTACATTCTTTTTTTTTTATTAAGGACTCAAAATCCAGTGTACATTTTACACTGATTCCACATTTGAGTTGGAACTAATTACATTTCAAATTCTCCATAGCCTTAGTGTACCAGGGTGGCTCAGTCTGTTAAGCACCAGACTCTTGGTTTCTGCTTAGGTCGTGATCTCGGGGGGGTTGTGGGATTCAACCTCAGACTGGCTCTGGGCTCAGCACTGAGTCTACTTATCCCTCTCCTTCTGCCCCTCCCCATGCTCATGTGTTCATTCTCTCTCTCAAATAAAACTAATTAATTAATGAATTAATTAATTCTCCATAGCCTCATTGTGGCAAGTGGCTACTCCACACGCAGTGTAGCTCTTAATCTCCTCTGTTACTGATTTCTACCAAACTTGATAGGTAGCTTTTTTCATTTGTTTGGTCAGTATAATTGTTGAACACTAATTGTGTTTTAGAGTGACAGCTCCTTCTGATTTTTCTCAATGGAGTCTTCACAGTGGTGTAACAGAGAGAAGACGCAAATGGCTTTGAAAGTGTAGAGACTAGCAATTTGTCCCTCAAGAGTTGTGCTTGAGGGGCACCTGGGTGGCTCAGTGGGTTAAAGCCTCTGCCTTCGGCTCAGGTCATGATCCCAGGGTCCTGGGATCGAGCCCCGCATCGGGGGTCTCTGCTCAGAGGGGAGCAGAGACTGTTTCCCCCTCTCTCTCTGCCTAGTTGTGATATCTCTCTCTCTCTCTCTCTCTCTCTCTGTCAAATAAATAAAAAATATCTTTAAATTAAAAAAAAAAGAGTTGTGCTTGATTGGATAAGCTATTTGGTCTCCAAGGACTTGAGTTTGTTGGCTGTGAAAATATGAAAAACCATACTCTCTGGAGAGTTCTGTAGGGAGGGGAGTTCTAAATGTACTAAATTCTAAATGTACTAAAAAGCCCTCTGCAGATCATCTGACATGTAGCTGTGGCTCAAAAGTATGAGTTCCCTTCCCTCTATAACTTGTTTTAAATAGGAATCTGCAACTACTGTTTAGGACTCAACACAAAAATCCTTCCAGTTTCATAACATGTGGTTTATCTTAGATTGAAAAATTCTCTTACAATGAAAACCTACAATTTCTTGTTGCATATTCTCTACCAATGTAATCACATCCCTTAGTGCCATGCAACATAGCTACTACTCTTGATGCTATTTTTCAAAATATTTAGAAAAAAATTGGTTATAGTCAGTTGTCTTTTATATGTCATTATTTTCATATTATATTTGATTCATTTGATATTTCCCAAGTCTTCTTTATGACTTAAAGATCTTTTTTTTGGTTTGTTTTGTGTGAATTATTTCTTCACATATTTTGACAGGTTTTTTTTTCCCTTCTATCAACATTTTTCCTTATAATCCACACTCTACTCATGAATGGTCCCCTAAATTTTAGTTCTTGATCCTCTGTGCTTTCTTTAGCTCAGCTCATAAAAAAATCCCCAAATCCTACTCTCTCCAGTGCTCTCTATAACTTTTTGTTCCTTCCTTTTGAAAAATTCTACTTGAAAATTCTGTTTTCAATCCTAACTCTGAAAGAATTTTGAGAATATAGGAGATGAGCTGGAGGATTTTAAGATTCATGTAATGCCACATAATCACCACAAACTTAGTGGCTTAAGAATAAATAATTATCAATTATTTTTCATGACTTCTATAGGTCAAGAGTTCAAAGTTGCTTGGCTGAGATAGCTTGGTTCAGGCATTCTCTGAGACCACAGTGCATATTTGCTTGGGCTGTAGCCATCTGAAGAATTGAATAGATCTGAAGAATGCACAAGATGACTCAAGTTTTGGCAAGTCGTCATTACCTATTGGAAGGGGATCTCAGATCCTCTCTCTGGGAGCCTGTCCAATCGACCTATGCTTGCTTTCAATGTGGGATGGAGTTCCAAAGCCAGGCAGAGTCCATATCCTTTTTTGAGATAACCTTGGAAGTCACACAGCACCACTTCAACTGTGCTGCATTGGTAATCATTCCACACAATCACCTAAATTTGTGGCAAACCACACAGACTCCAACTCTTAATCAGAGAAATGTCAGTCATATTGCAAGAAAAGCATATCAGATAGGATCAATATATAGATGTGGTTACCTCTGGAAATTATAATTTGTCCCTGGTTTCTGAACCCTTTCTGATTATTTCTCACTACAGTGTTTACAAAAATGGTATACTTGAAGACAAGGCAGGTTCTGAGCATCAGAAAACTGCAGAATATTTTTTTTTAAGTATCTGGGGATTTTTTGTTTTAAATCAATTAATTAACATATTGTGTATTATTAGTTTTAGAGGTAGAGTTTAATGATTCATCAGTTGTATACAACACCCAGTGCTCCTGCTCTCTCTCTAATGCATGTGCGCTCATTCTCTCTCTCTCTCAAATAAAATCTTATTAACATATAATGTATTATTAGCCCCAGGGGTACAGGACTGTGAATTGCCAGGTTTACACACTTCACAGACCTCACCATAGCACATACCATCCCCAATGTCCATAACCTCACCACCCTCTCCCTACCCCCCTCCTCCCACAACCCTCAGTTTGTTTTGTGAGATTAAGTGTCTCTTATGGTTTTTCTCCCTCCCGATCCTATCTTGTTTCATTTATTCTTTTCCTACCCCCAAACACCATACATTGCCTCTCAACTTCCTCATATCAGGGAGATCATATGATAGTTGTCTTTCTCTGACTGACTTATTTTCCTAAGCATAATACCCTCTAGTTCAATCCACGTCATTTTAAATGGCAAGATATCATTTCTTTTGATGGCTGCATAGTATTCCATTGTGTATATATACCACATCTTCTTTACCCATTCATCTGCTGATGGACATCTAGGTTCTTTCCATAGTTTGGCTATTGTAGACATTGCTGCTATAAACATTTGGGTGCATGTGCCCCTTCAGATCACTACATTTGTATCTTTAGAGTAAATACCCAGGAGTGCAATTGCTGGGTCATAGGGTAGCTCTATTTTCAACTTTTTGAGGAAACTCCATGCTGTTTTTCAGAGTGGTTGCACCAACTTGCATTCCCACCAACAGTGTAGGAGGATTCCCCTTTCTTCACATCCTCGCCAGCATCTGTCATTTCCTGACTTATTAATTTTAGCCATTCTGACTGGTGTGAGGTGGTATCATTGTGGTTTTGATTTGTATTTCCCTGATGCTGAGTGATGTGGAGAACTTTTTCATGAGTCTGTTGGCCATCTGGATGTCTTCTTTGCAGAAATATCTGTTCATGTCCTCTGCCCATTTCTTGATTGGATTATTTGTTCTTTGGGTGTTGAGTTTGATAACTTCCTTATAGATTTTGGATACTAGCCCTTTATCTGATATGTCGTTTGCCAATATCTTCTCTCATTCTGTCAGTTGTCTTTTGCTTTTGTTAGCTGTTTCCTTTGCTGTGCAATAGCTTTTGATCTTGATGAAGTCCCAATAGTTCATTTTTGCCCTTGCTTCCCTTGCCTTTGGCGATGTTCCTAGGAAGAAGTTGCTGCAGCTGAGGTTGAAGAGGCTTCTACCTCTATTTTTCTCAAGGATTTTGATGGAATCCTTTCTCACATTGATGTCCTTCATCCATTTTGAGTCTATTTTCATGTGTGGTGTAAGGAAATGGTCCAGTTTCATTTTTCTGCATGTGGCTGTCCAATTTTCCCAACACTGTCTTTTTTCCTTTGGACATTCTTCCCTACTTTGTTGAAGATTAGTTGACCATAGAGTTGAGGGTCTATTTCTGGGTTCTCTATTCTGTTCCACTGATCTATGTGTCTGTTTTTGTGCCAGACCATACTGTCTTGATGATGACAGCTTTGTAATAGAGCTTGAAGTCTAGAATTGTGATGCCACCAACTTTGGCTTTCTTTTTCAATATTCCTCTGGTTATTTGAGGTCTTTTCTTGTTCTATGTAAATTTTAGGATTATTTGTTCCATTTCTTTGAAAAAAAAAAAGGATGGGATTTTGATAGGAATTGCATTAAACATGTAGATTGTCTTAGGTAGCATAGACATTTTCACAATATTTATTCTTCCAATCCATGAGCATGGAACATTTTTCCATTTCTTTGTGTCTTCCTCAATTTCTTTCATGAGTACTTCATAGTTTTCTGAGTATAGATTCTTGGCCTCTTTGGTTAGGTTTATTCCTAGATATTTTATGGATTTGGGTGCAATTGTAAATGGGATTGACTCCTTAATTTATCTTTCTTCTCTCCTGTTGTTGGTGTAAAGAAGTGCAACTAATTTCTGTGCATTTATTTTATATCCTGACACCTTCCTGAATTCCTGTACAAATTCTAGAAGATTTGGAGTGGAGTCTTTTGGGTTTTCCACATATAGTATCATATCATCTGCAAAGAGTGATAGTTTGACTTCTTCTTAGCCAATTTGGATGTCAAATAAATAAAATCTTAAAAAAAAAAAAAGAAGCAAGGGAAGGCATTTTCTGATCCAAAGGGACCATTAGCATTTCAAAATGAGGAGCAACAATGTGGGAAATTCTGAGAAGATAGGCTTACTTATCTTCATGAACACTTTGATAACTGGTACTCCTGCAGAGAGAGGTAGGGAGTAGAGTGACCACCCTAGCAGCAGCAAGATAATCTATCACAATTCCTGTTCACTTGGGTGCTATAGACTGGAGATGGAGCTGCTATGGAAATACAGAGGGGGAAGAAATCCCTACCCCATAGTCTAAGCTCAACTCTAAGGGTGGCACTGAACCATTGGTAGCTCTACGCTCTGAATTTCTTCAGTGTCCCATCTGAATGAGAATTGCCTAATATTAGGGTGTCAACACTATTCTAACAGCCCAATATCTTCTTTTCTTACAAAAGAAATATCTTGCCAACCAGCAGAATTAATCCACTTGGCAGGCCTTTTACTTAACCTGAGCCTCATATGGGGGTGCTAGGATGACCTTTAGGCATGAAACCCAGAGCTCTGTAAAATATCTGGTGAACAGCAGTCATTGTGGGGGAGCCTGAAGAGTTCAGAGACTGCTTGAAGGAAAGAAACAGCACCAGGGCCTAATCGGGTCCAGTCAGGGTATAAGACACCTCACTAATGGTTCTGCCAGCCTTGAATGGTCAAGGGACTCAGAAAAATTCTAGGAAGTTATTCCAAAGTACAGAAACAGTGGGGGATTGCCTTGTATAGTGGGGTCCAAAGCAAGGTCTTTCCTCGACAGAGTACCAGTGTGCACTACAAGTTAGTGCAATGAAATGTGACAGAAGAAACTTTTCATCTGCTATGTTTACACCTATCTTTGCTGTATCTGGGTATGTTAAGTCCCACTGAATACATTTACTATTCTTTCTTTACCTTCTGAACAATCACTACTTACAGGGGAGCATCTGAGATCTTGAAGTAAGAAAATCAAGGAGCACCTTTTAAAACCCCTTTTTATATTTCCACATCACTTTTGACCTATGTAGAAGGTCAGGATGTATGTGGAAAGCCTGGAAATGTCAAAGTCATGAAGAGGTAGTCTAAATATCCCCTGGTGTATGTGGTGGACATGTTGTGGAGACAGAGACATAAAAATTCAATTTACTTTGTTATGCCCAAGTTCACAATCTACTGGAGATATTACAAATGACTCTCTCTCTCTATCCCCATTCATTTTTCCTTTAATGGCTTCATAGTTCATCATGACATGAAACCATCATAAGTTTATTGATGCTGCTCTGCCTTTGGCTCAGGTCATAGTCCCAGAGTACTGGGATCGAGCCCCGCATTGGGCTCTCTGCCAGGCAGGGAGCCTGCTTCCTCCTCTCTCTATGCCTGTCTTTCTGCCTACTTGTGATCTCAGTCTGTCAAATAAATAAATAAATCTTTAAAAAAATTTTTTTCATGGTTTTCATTCATAAAGAAATTACAAACTTGTATATAGTTAAATTGTATTATATTTTGTGTAGCTAAGTTTTTTTCTTGCTTAGAAAGACCTTCCTTGTGACAAGATGATAGGATGATTCTATATATACTTCAATATATTTTAAATTTTATTTTTTTAAGATTTATTTATTTATTTTAGAGAGAGAGAGAGAGAACACAAGCAGTGGGGAGGGGCAGAGAGAGAGGGGACAAGCAGACTCCCTGCTGAGCACAGAGCCCTATGTGCAGTTCCATTCCAGGAACCTGAGATAATGATCTAAGCTTAAAAGACAGGGCACTTAACAGACTGAGACACCCAGGTTTCCTGATATATTTTATATATACATACATGCATACGCACACAGAAACATATACTTGACACTTGTTATTTTTGCTTTAAGTAAAATATATAACAATTTTAAAAATTATACTAGAAGTATACAATTTAATTTATCTAAAATTAATTTATTATAAGGGGATATGGGTTTCTATACATTTTTTCTGATAGTTTGCTAATCATCATTTGTGAATATGCTATATTTTTACATTGACTTGAGATGCTATATTTATGAAAAATTAAACTTATGAATATATATATATATATATATATATATATATATGGGCCGATTGATCAATGTACCTATATTTTTAAAAAATACCATCTTATTTTTATTGCTATAACTTTGTAATATAAAGCACATCCTTCTTTATGCTACTTTTTAGGTTACTTTATCTTTACAAGATGCCCTTGATCTTATCTGTTCTACTATCAGAAAACAATGCTACAACTCTAATATCACACAGAGTCTCACTTCCCTGGGTTCTTAAAGAAATTTCTTCTTTTGAAGAACAAAGAGACTTTGTTATTGCACTTTTATTCAGTACATTTGATGGACTAGTAATTAAATGATTTGAAAAGTGCAATGTTTTTCCTTATGAATACTAGCTTAAGTGATGTGTGGTATGATTATTTAAGATATTCAATGATCTCAACAGATTTATTCTAGAAATTACAAAATTATTTTTTGAAAACCATATTAGCAGGATTATCTATCTTGATTTAATAATAATAATATCACATATAATTTTCTAGTACTTTACATTTATAAACATTTTTTTATGTATGTCTCATGTCATGAACAATGAAATACATCAGAGACAAGGAATGTTTCTCCTGGGGAAATTTCAAGATAATTTTATCACACACACACAGTTCATTAAACATATATAGGTCAAGAGATGGGACTCTGTTACATAGCAACCTGAGTTCAGTTCCCCTCACCACCATTTTTTAACTGTACCAAACTGTTGCAGAGCATGAATTCCTTATGTCTTAGTTTTTACATCTATTAGTTGGAAATAAATTTACCTACATTCCTATAGGATGCCATAAAGATTAAATGAGTTAACATTTATAAAGTGTTCAAAACAGTGCCCACACCATAAATGATCACAAATGTTAGTCCCTAATATTCAGTCATAACGGATGTAAAACCCAGACAGATGAATTGACCAAAATGTTTCTTAAGAAGTCAGTAGCATATAGAAAAGAAATGAGTTACCATAACTTCTTTTTTTTTTTAATGATTGATTGATTGATTGATTGATTTTTATCTAGACAAGTTCTCTTCCCAGATGCATAAGGGGCTAGAGTCCGTGAAAGGAGTCTGCAGTAGGGGGAGCTATCAAAAAACAGGGCTTTTCATTTTCATGTGAGTTTCTCCTCTTATCTGTTTCTATACTCCCTCAGAGCAGGATAGGCAGCCTTCTCAATAACTAGTATGCTGAGAATGAGAAATATGTCTAAAAAACACTGAGCTGAATAAGCACGAAACTTTTAATAGCATTCTTTGGACTGAAAGTCACATGGAATCTGAAACCAACCATTTTCGCTTTGAATAATTACTAAGGCTTTGAATCTACCCTATCAGTAAGGAGAGTACAGAAGACTCAATTCCATTTTTACAAATTTGTTGCACACAAAGACTGGTCCTGGGAAATCAACAGGTTCTTGTAGCCTATATAACAGCCACTGAATAATCTTGCGCTGTTCCAGGTTTCTTGGCTCAGCAATTAAGTATAATGAGGTTATTACATTTTTTATCTTTTATGGAGAAACCTTCCTTTCTCTGTAAGAGCAGATAAATTATATGTTGGCTAATTGAATTTAAACAAAAAATTTAAAAATAAGAGCAGATAAGTCTAATGCCTTAAATTAGGCATTTTGTTATTACTTCTCACTAATGGGTCATGGTAACCACTATTTCCAATAATCCTGTTACTTCCAATCTTAGAAAAAGAACACCCAAAGCAAAGCAAAGCAAAGCAGTATTTGACTTGGATCTTTTGCTAAACCTCCCCTTTATATAACCATAACTAAAATATCACCTTATACACATCATCCAAATAATTTTTTCTCACTAAAATGACTTACTATTTATAGTGGTGTCATTATTTGACACTTTGCAAATACACTACACACTTTATTCTGCTGTGTATGTGTGTGTGCGTGTATATATTCATTATGAAATTCTCTTACACTTATCTTGTCCTTAAGATCTGCATTGCATATGACAGACAGCAAAGATTTTGGTAATAATGAAGAGGGTTTTAATAAAGACCATAGATCACGGGGGAAAGGGAAAAGTAATAAATTAGGAGACAGTAATTTCTGCTACTTTTAAAACTCAGTAGTTTATTTACTTTGCATAGCTTTTTAAGAAACAGAAACAGCAAATCAAAGATTAAATTCTCATATTTTGTTCCTGGTGATAGGGAATTTCTTAGACAACTAGTAACTTAAAAATCGTAATAATCTGCTGGGGATGTCATAAGCCCTTTATATTCCCAAGGTGAAAGAAAAACAATGTCCAGCATTTAGCCCCAAGCAACACCAAACTTGAATGTTAACTTTTGATAAACATAATGACTAAATTCATATCACTGCAGGAAGGGAAATAGAAGAGCATACATTCTCTACTTTCCTCTCACTGAAAGACTCCGGAGTTGATGTGACTGTCTTGAATCACAAAGATTCTTGTCCTCTTCCCCTCCTCCCCGCACTTTTCTGGACTCACTGACACTAGGTAAAGTAGAAGTGTTAATTGAGGGAGTGAAATATCTTTCTGGAGAGAGAAGTCTTGGTTTATGTCAACTGGAAATAAAGAAGTGACTACATTGCCAAGAGCATGGTTTGTGACAGTTCCAGGAGTGAATCACAAAGAAAGGACTTGTGATCTTACTAAAAAGTAAGGCTCCTACCTAGTGAGTCATATTATGATGGGAGGTAGTTTAAGGACTTGACCAGATGCTTTGCTCTCAGTGTGGGCTGGCTGTCCAGAAACCCAAATTAGATAAGATGTTCACCTATTATCACCTGGATTCTTGAGAAATAAAGGGGCACTGTGTAAAGTACAGCAACAGTGGGTTTTCCACTAACTTATATCAAATGATTGATTTGGTTTTATTATTGTGCATGATTACTTTGAGAATTCTCAAATTTTTTTTAAAAAGGTGTTTTTTAACAGTTTAGAGTCTAAAAACAATTCATTGACTTTATTACCCAAGGTCCAGTAAGATAACAACTGATATTAATCAGATAATGAAATGAACACAGCCTTTGGGATTATTGAGATCTACATTCAGATTTGGTTTCTCCTAACGTTTGTTTACATAAATCTATCAGGTTGTTTAAACTCTTTCAGCCTTAATTTCTGCATCTGTAAATTAAGTATAGTAATAAGGCCTACCTCCTACTATTATCATGAGAATAATATATAAAAATGCAAAGTACCTAATATAGGCTATGGTATATATTGTTTTTCTTAAATATTATGATTACTTTAACATTGTGTTGAAACATCGTAGGAAGAAAGTAACTTCTTGGTGTTTCATTTTGGAAGAAGAAAGTTTTCTCTGGAAGCTATTGTAAAAAACAGTGGAGGCAATATTTACCCTGTTGGATCTCATGGGCTTGGTTTGTAAACCTTTGGTTTGTAAACTGGTCGCACTCATCGCCCTTAGGTTGGATTAGCAGCCAAATGGATGTATTTTGATATAGGCAATTGAAAGAGTTGCTTTGACACATTTCAGACTACTAGAGATAGGAAACGTATTTAAGAACACTATAAAAAACACACATCCCAAGAAAATTATTCCACATACCTTAAAAACAAAACAAACAGGAACGCCTGAGTGGCTCGGTTGGTTAAGCATCTGCCTTCCACTCAGGTCATGATCCCAGGGTCCTGGGATCAAGTCCCAGGCTCCCCTCCCCTCCACCCCTCTGTGCTCTCCCTCTCATTCACTCTCTCTCAAATAAATAAATAAAATCTTTAAAAAACAAACACACAAAAAAGCCATCTAGAAACTTCTGATTTAGGAATGACCTAGACCTTCAATAGATTACTCTTTGAACTTCAACTCCAAACACAAATGAAACCAAGCACTCTAGCAATAAGTCTAGCTTGGAGTAAATTCAAAAACTCGAACACCTAAGTATTTGGATAAAAGATTCAAATGGTTTGAATTCTTTTATAATTAAAATACATTTTCTCAGATAAAAATCACGAGGATTATTATTGTATTACAATATCCTAAACTCAGGACCTAAAGCCAGGTTTTATTTATACTAATCCCAAACCAGGATTTTCTTAAAATAGAAACTAGTATTCAGGGCAAACACTCTTGGATAATAAAATATTATCTCTCATTATGTTATTGTGATTTACATGTGTCCTTCATGTCACTTGCTTTGGAAAAAATATTCCAGCAAAACCATCATGACATTTTCAGTATCTTCAGAAAAGAGGCTTGTATGTGTGTACGGTTTCAAAAAAAAGTTGAAACATTTGCCATTTATTCTTGTGCATAAATATGAATTTTATATGATGCAATAGCTATTATCTAGTGAGAAGCTATTTGTTGTTTTTGTTACTAGTGGGAAAATGCTAATTTAGAATTCCCACTTAAATAATGCTATTCTTTTCCTCATACTGATGCTTGACAGCTGTCATATTCTGTTATTTGTAAATTCCAATTAAGTCGACATACATGCTTCACACCCCTCATGTAGGACAGTGTAATTTGAGGATGCATTTTTAAACTGGTGAGATAATGTCTTTTCCCTCTGGCATCAAAGGCAATAAATAACATCTCTCTAGATAATATAAATAAGGAGACATCATTAATTTATACAGCAGAATAGTGATATCACATGGTCTAAAATATATGGAAAAAGTCAATATAATATGCTTTTGAGTTTTTTCCCATAAAGCATAATTATCCAAAGGAACAGAGAAAGTATATGCTAATATAACTTCACTGATATCAGAGGACATCAATATACTGGATTATCAGTACCATCAATTCTATCATAGGTGGATCCTACATGATAAGATTTGAGGGAAAGATGGAAGAACAGTGTTCACATACCTTCTCTGCTGATGCCTGATAATTTGACTTTATGTTTAATGTTTTACTCTGAGAGTCTCTTTCCCGTAGAGACCCACTTAAAAATACAAACGTTTCTTGAATAGGTGAAATGTTAAGTCTTCTACCCATGATATGAATAAGTTCCTTTGTTGGTATATGTTGCAATAATGCTGGCTTGAGTCCTTTATAGAGAAGGGGACTCTGAGAAAAGGAAACATAAGGACATGCTGACCAATTTCACACCTCTTCACCAAGTGTTTACAGTTGGTTGGGAATGGCACCACTAGTGCTCCCAGAAACCCTTTCTTCCCTGACTAGCCTCGAATCTTTGTGTGTGTTTTCAAAGAATCCCTCTTACCACAGTGTCTGCCAGGGTTCTCTCCTTTCTCCCCATAAAAGATAATCCTAAATATAAAAGCAAAACAGCAATCTGAAGAATAAGATTTGACTTCACCATTTTTTAATCCAAAAGTCCTAAATAACTTGTGTTTAATTTCTTTTGAATTAAAAAAAAAAAACAACAACAAGGTGGGTAGATAGCCAAAGGGATATATGATGTCTGTTCCCAAGTTATTTTGGATCCAAAAATATCTATTTAGAATTCTCATGGAAAATGAAGAATTAGCCACTAGTGGATCAAGCCAAAAATTGGAGAGAGAACTGAATGAAGCAGAAAATATCACAAAACAGTCATCATGAGAGAACTAGTAAAATAATTGACTTCTAAATCCCTATTCCAGGGGTAAAACTTAGCATATGCAGATGCTTTAATAATTTTCATGTCAACAATTGATTTATACCAAGTTTGGGGCCCTAAAACACATGTAATGGCTTAGTGGTTTATGTACTTTTTTTTTCCCTTTTAACAGTGAAATATGCCAGGAAAGACACCTATAGTTGTTTTTTCAAGAGATGCAAATGTAGACACGAGTGCCATGATTTTGAAAAAAAATAAAACAGTTTATTTCTCAACAAAAGTAAATGCCAAATGGTATAAGTAGAAGTCTGAAATAAAAATCAGCATCCCTCATAAGTATGTTGGGCTACATATTTATATCAAGCTTTGAAAAATGGGCTCTGCAGACATGTTTGAGATATATCACCTTTCCCATATTTGGGTTGTGGAAGAGGATTTTAGGAGAAAGGTGACACCTCTAGAACATGTCTTTTATTCAACTGACAAATTTTATCCATGCTGATAGAAAAGACACCATTTTACCTATTATTTTAAAATCTCATCTAAAGCTATTCTATGATTTGATCCTAGGTTCTCAGTCTACCAGCATGGGTCAAATTAAAAAAAAAAAAAAAGTAGTAATTACCAGCTTTCTCATATCTCGCCATCACTTATGAGAAACTATAACTAAGTTCACAGAGAGTCATTGGAATTTCCTCTCTAGACAAAAATTGAGAAATATCATGAAGACAAAATCATGACCTTATTGTTTTACCTCATTATCATGTGCCTTCTTGTTGGGATTCCAAGAATTATGTCCTCTGTACCTCTTCCAACTCTTTCATCCACTCATTTTTCCTTGTAAGTGAGGTATGGATTCAATAAAAACAATTATAATTTATCATAATATAGATATGTTTATGAACATATGGCCATTAATTCCTGAATATCAGTAGCTCATTCCTCTCACTGGCTTTCGAAAAAAAATGTCATTAGTCACTGCCAAAGTTCCACAGGAGTCTTGGAAGAATATAAGACTTACCCATGAAACTGGCACTCTCCTATTCTCCTAGGTCAGGTGTCACTATTTCTCTTTATGTTTCTGCTGCCTTTGCTCTCTGAGAATGCTGACTGCCAAGCATGTCCATCTCCTGCTAGAGGCTTCCTTGAAGCTTCAGAGAACTGAACCTGCTATCTGTCTTGTAGGGAAGTAATTTGAATCTCTTACTCTCTCATCCACTTGTGCCTTCTTCCCTAAGCCCTTTCTTGTATGTTGGTCTGAAGTAGTGCTGATTTAGTCCCCAGATAGCATAGTTGAACATTAGTTTTTAATCAATGTATTTTCACAGCTACTTGACCTACTTTTCTCACAGGACCTTAAAAACAGTCCATCATACTGACTGGCAGATTAAAGTCACCAAGCCATTTGTCCCTGGTGACATAGCTGTATTCTTACTTAAACCTAAATACAAAGCTTCTGTGTATAAAATTTATCTAAAGAGGTATGCCCTCAAGAATTATAATCTACTAGTCCTTCTTTTGGCCAAAGTCAAAATTGTGTGTTTACCTAGTTGGGACATCCTTCTTTATTACTTCTTGGAAAATAGAGTGGCATCTATATTTTTTAAGATTGCTTCTTTTCATCTATTCATGTACCCCTTGAATTCTCTGGACTCTCTGGAGCTAGGATTAAAAACCTCTGCGGTAACACATAATACTCACCACAGACTCTGAAAGGATCAGCGTCTATTCCAAAGAATCTGAGAAGTCCAGGGGTTACACAGAAATATACAGACTGGTGTTAAATTCAAGCTGTCTAAGGTAGTGGTGAGGGGATATGGGGAGATTAATTGAAGCAGGTAATACCAGCCTCAATTCATGGAATAACTTGAGGTCATCAACAGTGGAATTTTTAATAAGTTGTATTATATTCACACAATGGAATTATATTCACAGCAAGGAGAGTAAATGATCTTCAACTACATATAACAATCTTGTTTACTATTTACCTTCTCTATTTTGATATGTTTAACGATAAATCTCACAAAAATGTTGCATGAAAGAAGTTTGACACAAAGGAATTCATGATACGTGAAAAATGTTTATTATCTCATTGATAATAAGAGATTTAATCATTATCATTAATTGAAATGAATGTCTACATCAGTGAGTATTTAAGTTAAGTAATTAGCATAATATATGTTATACCATTTATGTAAATTACAGACACAGGCAAAGCTGATCTATGCTGCTAGAAATCAGAATGATTGTTGTTTCTGAGTGTTGAGGAATAATGATTGACAGATATTTGAGTGGTGTTGTTAATGCTCTGTTTCTGAGTAGTGGTTATATAGGTGTGTTAAATTCGTGAAAACCTAACTATACATTTAGTAAACTACTTTTCATGTATATATTATACTTTTATAAAATGTTTTTGAAAGATATAAAAATATATGAAATAAAACAGAAATGTCTTATCATCAAACGTATCTTAAACTTGCTCTTCTCTCGAGAGCAAATTAATAAAATATTTCTTGCATATTTTTCCAGGCCTTTTTTTTATGTATACACACAAACATGTTTGTATCTATATTAAAACACATATATCCATGTCATATGCACATGACAATTTGCGCTAGGCTTACAAAAGACAAAAATGCATATCTCTTTCAATTTGGCAGTCAGCAAATTCATACTGGTAGACTGAAATTGGGCATGGTGGGAATATTTGCACCACAGAAACTAGCAAATGCTATAAACCAGAGCTTCTTTTTTTCTGAAAGTTAGATGATGATTTTTCTAAATTTTTGTTCTTACAAAGAATGTTGCATTAAACATAAATAACATACAGATTGACTATATTTCTCTAATGTCTCTTTGTTACCCAAAGTTGCCAGAGAAAAGTCTGAGGTTCAAACAATTCTTGATATTTGTAAAAAAAAATTCTTATGTTCAGTCTTTCATTTTCTCTGACATTAAAATTTTCTCTGTATCCTTGGGGTTTGGGAATTTTATCATCATCTGTCTAGGCTAGATCTAACTTCTGGTAGAATAATATCAGGGGTAAGTATGCTAGTGAAGAGTTCTTTAAATTAGATGTCCAAGTACCCAGAAATCACAACAGGTGACAGCCTACATAGTTAATTTCTATATCCAGCTTTTCTCCGGAAGGCAAATACATCCTAAAAATCTTGAACATCCCTAGGTGAAGAGGGCATTTTTGCCTGAGAAGACTAAAATTACATAATTGCTGAGATTGAGAAAAGAGAGTATTGTCATAAAAGCAGTAAAATAGAACAGATTTTAGTTATAGAAACATAGGTTAAGATAGTGGCACTACCACTTATTAGCTGTGTATTTAGCTTTTGCCAAATAACATAATTTATTTGAGCCTCAGTTTCCTCAATTTCCTCAGTTTCCTCAATTAAGAAATGTAGAAAAAGTATGTTTGTACATTTTGTTCTGTTATTGAGAATTAAATAGCATAAATGTAAAGAAATGCAGTGTTTAGAACATAACAAATACTAAAAATGTTAGCTTCTTCATTAATTTATTCCTTCTTTAATACCTAAAACAATGTCCTATTTTCCACTGAGGACTATCAGTCAAACTGGTCTTCCTTTATTATTCATCCTCATACTCCCACTTACAACTGTTTGGAGCTAGGGATATGGGCTACTCTAGAGTACAGGACCACTTTACTCTGCTATTAACATGCTCCTATTAACCAATTGCTCTGTTATCTTAAAAAAGTCAGACCTTGCCTTTGGTATCTCAGGTTCCTCATCTCTCAAGTGGGTTGACTGGATAATTTCTACTGTTTACCAGACTTAGACTTCACTGACATTATAAATAAATTTGCTCATTGCTCTATATAAAGGCAGAAAGTAAGAATTGAGGAATGGATGTGTAGATGATTTAAGTAACATAGGAATCCCATCCTTTTCAAAAGAAGGTAAGATGGTCAGAAACCAAACAGAATAGCTGAAAACAATGTGGTAGAGATTAATGGTTTTGGGGGGTTCTGATGGACCAGAGCAAGAATAATTTAGTGAGAGAATATAAGGATATATGTGACAGTAATTTTGAGCAAAAATAAAACAGCTAGTGGTGAATGAATAAGCACATACAATATGTTAAGAGCTATGTCCATATCCCACTTAGTCCTCACTATGAATTTGGTTCTATTATTTATATTAATATCTTCTAGAAATATGGAAACCAAAACTTAGGAAAGTAGTAATTTGACTTAAATAAAATAGCTAATAGATGACCAAGCTTGGACTAAAATCTTTGTCTAGGTTGAAGTAAAAAATTAAGATGTTTGAAGTATAGAAATATGTAGAGAGAAAAGGAGAAAAAGGCAAAAAAAAAAAAGAGTAATACAGTAAACCCGTTTAGTTAAGAAACTCTATCTTTAAAGCTCTGTATACTGATAATACCCAGTAAAATGTGCTGTAGGTCAGGGACTCAAAAAATAATTAATTAGCTGTTTCTAAAACACACACATGCACACATACACAAGCTCAGAAAGAAGAGCCAAATGATATTTAAATTTATGTATAACTGATGACTCTAATACTAACTACAGAATTCATTCCAGAGATCCAAGTGTTCCAGTGTGTTTAGTTCCATGACTGTACAAAATGCATCTTTCATGTTCTTTGGGCTTTGACATAGAAAAGACTAATTAGGCACAAACCATTCTTTGCGTGGGTTAATAGTCTAGGTTTCATGTTCATTTATTTTCCAAATGGTATATAAGTTTAAAAGTTAAAAAAAAAATAATCCTAGGTTTTTAGTCCAGCCTCCATTTGATGTGTGAATTCTTCCTAAAATGTTCCCACCAGGTAGTTACCCAACTTGTTCTTGAAAAACCATTTACAACTTCCCAGAGTAACTGATTCTACTTTTAGATAGCAGACCTCAAAGACTTAAAAACTATCTTCTCTCTGATCAGCCTTCCCTGTGACACTCATAAAAAGTTGTATACTTCGAGATCATATTTAACAAGTTTAACCACCTTCCCTTGTCCATCTTTGAAATATCTAAAGATATCCTGATATTCTCCCCTTAAATTTTGTACTTCTTTTGTTAAACATTCTCTTTCTTTCTCATATAACGTGGTATCACATTCTTATATCATTCTGGCATTGCTATCTAGAAGCTGCTCCAGGATTTCTATTGTATTCCATTTTCTTTCTCAGAATCAAAAGCAAGGTTCTGGGTACTGTTTGACTAGTGAGGAATTACAGTCAACCTCTGTTTGGAATTACAGT